TTGCAAGTTTGATTTGTTATGTTTGCGTTTATATAATGGATCAGTTTCATAATCAATAGATCCTTTGTTAATTCTTGCAATGATGCAGTCATAATTAAGGTCACTAATCTTGTGCCTTGATAAAACCTAAAAAATATAAAAAATATTAAAATTAGTTCATACATAATTAAAAACATTACCTATAAATCCTAGACTCCACATTTAATGGATTATTTGTTGAATATAATGTTAAACTTCAATCGATAAAAAACCTAACAATTATAACAAAATGAACTTGTAGACATAAAAACAATACTTTGCTAACAGCTGGAGCAAAAATTGAAAAACTCTTTCCCATCTGAGATGCAATAGCTGCTAGTGTTTTCATTGCAGCAGGGCGTAATTCAGGAAAATTGTCTAGCACACGAATAATTGGATGAATTATTCGAGCTGAAAACTCTCGTAAATCAGCACAATCGCATAGTTTTTCAAGTGTTTCTAGAGCAGCTCTAAAGATCAAAACAAACAAACAAACAAAAAAAAGGTACGGCATTAAAAAAATAGATATTTAAAGCTACTTGTTAAAATTTTAATAGCTACTTAAATAAAAGTTGAATGCGTATATGATTGATATAATCTTTTGTTTTTTTTATTGAAGTTATTTTAAAAACTGCTTTTTTAAATTATTAAATCATCTTTATTATTTCATTCACTGACAACTGAAATAATTTGAAGACAAAGTTGTGTTACTCTGCAAAGTTGTACCAGCTAACATGATATAAACAATTTTCTAATTTTTACTACTGTATATAGTCTGGATACTAAATATGCTGAAAAATAGCAACTTTCAAAAATAGCATTTCAATACCTGTAAATTTATATAAAATAACATTAGAAATAAATAATATTTTTAGAGTTGCCCCTAAACCCTTAAACAGTTACCAATACTAAAAAAAAAAAAAAATTTTCAAAACTAGGTATCCTGGTACTCAAAAAAAAAAACTTATATAAAAATATCAGAAACTTGTAAAAATGCACCTAATTTAACTTTTAGAATTAATTTTAAAATAATATTCAATAAATAAAACAAATATTATTTTTGAGATTTTCATATGTTGCTTTTTTTGATTACAAGGTTTACCTACTTTTGAAGAAATTTTTTTTAAAAACATTGGTGATCAAGGTGTTGGGGGCAACTAAAAAAAATTTTATTCAAAATTTTTTTAATAATAAACTATTTCATTATATAGAATTGATTTGTTTAAGTGAGTGTGAGGTTTGTTTTGTTTAAGTTTTTCATAATTGATTTGTTTGAGTGTGAGACTTTTTGCTTTTAATGAAAAACATGCTCAATGCATTCAGTATACTTTTTTTAAATGATCATTACTTGTAGAAAAATATCTATTTTTCCAGAGGTTTATATCTCTGTTTATAAAAACACTTTAATTCTACCCCAAGATTTGCTTTGGAAGCACTTTTCATTGCACGAGTGTACCATTTGAGGACTAATTGCCAAACCAAGGGTCCTTTGATGTTAATGCATAACTCTTTCAAGTTGTTCAATATAAAAGTATTGTAACTAAATTTGGGGGTATCGTAGCCAAAAAAAATAACTAATTATTTATCAACATTCACTTTCAGAAGCTAAATTTCTGTTCAAATCTTGATTTATTTTTGTAAATTTTATGAGCCTTCATTACTTGAAAATTTGTCTATTAACCTGCTCTTATCAGCATAGAGCTTGCAAGAGCAGTGATTTAAAAACTTTATAAGATCTTTCATGTAAATTATAAACAGCAGTGGTCCAAGTTGACTTCCCAGTGGAACTCTTTTAGTAACAAAGACCTGATTTAAAACTTTTATCATAATCAAATATTTTTCAAACTCTATTTACTGTTGTTATACGTTGCATGATAATGGCTTGGAGCTAATGGCTAACAATAGAAACTTTTTAACAAGTTTTATGTACTAATATCCAGAGTTTCTAATGTGTTAAGTATTTTAGTAAGCATTTGAGTGTTCATGAAAGATAGATGTATCTTAAAACATTATCTGTTCTCATTCATGTGAGTGTTACATGGATCATTCGTGTTTTTGTTGACAAAAACACAAATAGATAATCTCATTCAACTTTACTTTAAAATTTAGATTTCAATATTTATATATATAAGAAGTTTTACTAGCTTAAGTTAAATATTCATGATGTGTATATTGTTTTTATATTTAAATATTAAAATATAAAAACAATATACACATCATGAATATTTAACTTAAGCTAGTATTGATAAATAAAAAAATTGATTCAAAGCATATACTTACAATTGAACTTCTTTAGTTAGCTGAGCAGATGTAGAGTCAAACAGTTTTACAACAGGGGGTATAAGCAAATGTAAATAATCATCAAAACTTTCACCAAATTTTTGAATACTTGTAAGAAGCTAAACAAAATTTTTTTCAAATATTTGCAAATATTATTTTTGGAATACTTGCTTTAAAAAAGCTAGTTGGAATAATAATTTAAAAGCTTTTTTTTAAATACATGTTAGAAACAATAAAATAAAAATTATTTTAATGCCTTTAAAATGTTAAAAACAAACTTACAAAAGGACTCTTATATAACAAACCTTGCAGGTGACAACTTGATGTTCACTCTGATCGTTATTAAAAACTTTGAGCATGTGAGGAAGGATTTGCGGCAAGTACAACTAAACAGTTAAATTATTACAAAATCACTTTTTAGAGTTAAAAATTTTTTATAATTTTTTTTTTTTAATTGAACAAGGTAAAATAAAACATCTTAGACACTTTATATCTGAACAAGCATTTAAAATCTTGAATGATTTTTTTAAGCTCGTTCAGCACAATTGTGTTTGAACTGATATATTCCGATATATTTGTCTATTCAAACTTTTTTACTATATGCTTTTTTCTGTTTTAGCTACACTTTAAATTATTATGGACTATGATTGTAAATGCATTCTTTCTTTATAAAAAAAAATATTAATTGAATCTAAACATCTATTTGGTTTTCTTTGTTTTTGTCATTTCCTTTATAGAAATGATAAAAACAAAGAAAACCAAATTTCTCCTTTTCGTATTTCTTTAGGGCTTTTAATGCTCAGTTAAGTTTAAGATTTTTTTGCATGGTATATAACAAAATTGACATTTTATCTCTTTGGGGTAGAATTTTATGTTAGGCAGTTTTATTTTATATAGAGTTATATAGACTATGTGAGTTTTATAAGAATATTGCCACAATTGAGCTTATTTGTTATTTGAGTTTATTTGGATACATATTTCAGTCATAAAAACTTCTTTTGTATTTGCTTTTTAGTATTAAACTTTTTTCCAAAAAATAAAAAAAAAAATGCAATTTATATTCTTAAAATACACAAACCTTTCTCGATTGCAAGAGGTTTCATTAAGGATTTATTTTTTTAATTACTCTAGTGTGTAAATAAATATAAATTACGTATGTAATTACAATGATGTTTAGCTAAAGCTTAGTTAAGTTTGCATACAGATTGTTATTGTTGTTGTTTTTTTTCAGCAAATGTGTTTTTCTAGATTTAGGATTGTCATACATATTTGTAATTGCTTTTTGTTGTAGAGATTTTTTCGAATGCTTTCATTGTCATTGCTACATTTTTTTTATTAACTCTTTTTTTGGGAGTTTTTTGGGCACCTTATATAAATCATCTATACATTTATATGCATTTTTTTCTATTTTAGCATCTACAAATTTTTTCAGTTTTTAGCATCTACAAACTTTTTTTGTTTTTAGCATCTATAAATTTTTTCTGTTTTTAGCTATTGTAAATTTTTTATGTTTTTAGCATTTATATATTTTGTTTTAGCTACACTTTAAAAATAAATTATTGCAGTCAATGATTTGTTAACTTTTTTTTCTCCATAGAATAAATCTATATAATTTTGCTGAACTTAGTAGTAGTACCTTTTCAAGCATTTTTGAAACAAAACTGAGTTAATAGCAGGAATTGACTGAGGTAATAGCAGGAAAGAGTTGCAACACTTTGTAAAAAACGTGAACAAAAGTGTATGCAAATATCTAACGTACATAAACTTCAAATTATGTAATGTTAAAACATACTTAAAAATATATCAAGTTTTACAGTTTGACTTTCACTTAAAAATTGCATTGCATCAACTTTTTTTGTTAAAAAATTATTATATAGTTTTAAAATTTCATAAGTCAATGTGCCAGCGTGGCCGAGTGGTTAGCACATAGAGCTTCTGAACAAAAAAAACCTTGGTTCGAGTTTTACCACTGGACTTCTTTCTTTAAAATTTTTTTAGATTTTTTATTTTATTTTTTAGAAGTTTTATAGAGATTGTATACAAACATATGACATTATACACTTTATCAAACAAAAATATTATTTATTTTTAAAAATAATTAAAAGTTAAAATCATTTAATATTGATATAATAAGGAAATTTACAGTTTTACAGCGATTTTACCACGCCCATTTTAAATATTCTGATCCGAGTGCACAACAATGACAGAATTTAGATAACCATCAAAATAATATACTTCTTTATTTTTTATTCTAACTTTTAGATTAGGGATCGTCCATAAATTATGCAACGCTAAATTTCACTAATGAACAAAACAAAAAAGATCAAAATTTTCCCTCGTAGAGTCGTATGTTAAAAAAAAATTAAAAATAGCTCATTAAGTTAAATGAAAATTGCCTAAAAGAACTTAATATCTCCTTCTACTTTAAAAAAAATAAATTTAGAGTTGCATAATTTAGTGTTTTATAAACTATAATTTTTAATGGTCTAAGGCCTACTTAGTTCTGCCAAAATACAAACGTCTGCAAGTGTAAATGTCTTAAGCATATGTTGAGTTTGCAGGCAGTATATGGAACAATCATGTATAGTAAATTTATAAAAATGAAAAAACTTTTGAATTTTATTTTTACAATTAGAAAACTTTTTGCTATATTACTAATTTTTTGCTATAAATACAGCAAGATTGAAAAATATTCAAAATTTATTAGGGAAGTTCTTTAGTCTCCCAAACAACACTGATGACAGTGCACTAAACCACTGAGGTATCAATGATATGTGTTTAGGAGAAAAACAAACCTAATAATAAATCTCTTATAAGCTCTAGGAATGCGGAAAAGGTGCGCATGTTAATTTTTTTGCTCTTATAGCAATTTTTCAAATAAATTATTTTACATAAAAATATTGAAGTAAACAAATAATAAATATAGAAATGATCAGTGTGGAATAGATAAGTATAGAAATGATAGGTTTGGTAAAGAACCATATTTTATGGGTCAGGAAAGCTAGGATATATATAAAGAAAAAGTATAGAAAAGCAGTGTTAAATAGACTTACAAAGACCTGTATTTTTCTGGGTCAAACCAGCTAGTATTTGTTAATTCTGAACATAAGTTCATTTTTAATTTAAGTATTTAAAAAATCTACTTAAGTATTTAAAACATCTCCTTTTGTCTTAAACCTTTATGCCAGTCATAACCAATAACTTCAAGGTTGTTATTAAAACTGTGTTTATAAAACAACCTAATGTATTCACTATATAAAAAAAAAAATTCATAAAAATTATACGTATAATTAGTCTACAATTTGATGAAACACCAAATAACTTTAGGTTAAAAAAGGAACACCTCAGACCTATAGGGTCAGTCCAAGAATGATGTACTTAAACCAAAATGCGACTCCCTTCACACTCCTGATGTTTTTTAATGAGTATCAACCGTGTAAATGAATAGCGGAATATTCTAGTATAAAAGCGAACCAAACAAAACATAAATAAAACAATCAAATAAACAAAATCGAATAAACAAATTAATCAAAACAAATAATAATCAATAATTATTTAGTAGTGAAGCTAATTTTAAATACGAAGAATAAACAAATTTTTGATTACTTAATTAAAGGAAAGTATGAGAATAAATATGAAAATTTAATTATTAGGGAAACAAAAACCAAAATTTGTATGTTGATTTCTCAATGTTATCCAAACTACAATCAGATGAAGTTAACCAAAAAATTTATGAAAAACATTAAAAAGAAATAGAATGAGACAGGTAGACAAAAAGAAAGTTTTATAAATTGTTACAAGAAAGGATTAAATGTGAAATTTATTGTTAACGAATATCAACAGCAAGTAAGGATAAATAATGTACAACAAGGTGCACCTTCTTAATCATTTGAAGATCTCTCAACAAGATCTAAAAAAGAAGATTTTTAGAGATTACTGAAAAATTATTTCATGAAAGTTTATTTCATGCCCTTATTCTAAATCTCAATAAAAAAGGACAATTTAAAGATGCCAAAGTTATTATACATTTTATGGAAAGTAAAACTGATGGATCCTGCAATATATCATGCTATAAAAGCTATTCAGCAGAAAAAGCTTTAGCTTCAATGTTAGACTGTAGAATGAGTAGGACTGACTATTAAACTATCCGTCAAAGGGCCTTAAATAAAGGTTGTATGTTGCACCTTGCCTACAATTTTATAGTGAAAGCTGAACGTGATTGCATTCCAGATTCCGGAATTGTCACATCAAACTACAGTGATTCTGTGAACCTTCAAGGAATAATGGATCACACTACAAACAGAATTTGGAAAGTTATGGATAAATCAAAACTACCTGAGCCTTGCAATACTCTTCTTCTTATAAGCAAAGTCAGATTTGATGGTTCATCTGGACAGTCTGTTTATAAACAGAGAACTGAAGATGATGAGGACAGATTGCCAGTTCCAGTTGAAGAATCTTTGTTTTTTTCATGTACAGTGTCTGTGCAACTTAAAATACAGGGAACAAATGTTATTTTTTAGACTTACCCCAAAACATCTTCAACCCAGTATTGTTGTCCTGTTCGAATGCAATATGTTAAAGAAAATCAGCAAATTGTTAAAGTAGAATATAAATTTTTTATGTCAACTGAACTCAGAACAACAACCATAGATTTTTTTCAAGTCAAGCACAAGTTAGAATGTATTATGATTGATGGAAAAGTTTCCACTTTTCTTTCTCCATTAAGTGATTCTTATCAAGTTTGCATTATATGCGGATTTAATCCAAAAAAATGAATGACTTTGTAATTGTTTACAGTAGACAACCAAATCAGATTTCTCTAGACCTTGGGATTCACACTCTCCATCTCTGGGATGTCTGTTACATATTGGAAAGAGAAGAAGACCAGGATACAATGATTGCAGATTTTTTCATGCAAACAATCCTGAAAAGAAAAAAATAGTTGCAAGTCGAAAAGAAATTCAGGAAAAAATTAAAGATACACTCAGACTTATTGTTGATGTACCAAAAGTGGTGGCTCTGGTACATCCAATTATGGAAACACAGCGAGAAGGGCATTTTGAAGCCATGAAACTTTTGCTGAAATACTTGGAATAGATAAGGATCTTGGTAAAAGATTTTTCATTATTCTTTGTGTATTGTCCTGTAAACATACAATTGATCCAGATAAACTAGAAATATATTGCAAAGATACATTTAAGACATATGTAGCACATTTTAAATGGTATCCTATGCCTGCTGGAGTGCACAAGATGATTGTCCATTCACACCAGGTTGTAAGAGACAAGCCAGTTCTAATAGGCAATTTATATGAAAAAGCCCAGGAAAGTAGAAACAAAGATGTTAAAAAATTTTTGAGAACATTTTACGAGAAAATTTTCTG